CTTGAAAATTTCCAAGGATGGAGATTCCCCAGCCTCTCTGAGCGGCAAATCCCAGAGCTTGACTATCCTCATAGGATTTATTATTTTTTTTTAAATCTTGCAACCAGGAACTGTAGGAAGGGACCAGGTCTAGCTGTTCTCTCGACAGCTTGTCCTATATTTAAAGACAAGATTTGCTGCTGGTGATTATGCCATGCTTCCTCTAGGGATATGCACAGTGTGTAACAACGTGATAACACGTTCTGAACACAGATAACTTCATCTGACTCAATTAGTTGCTGTTTGCAAAGTGCTTTAGGGAGGAAAAGTGCCAAAAGAACTGCAAAGCACCACAATCGTCTTCATATGAAAACTTGGAGAATAACTTCCTATTCCGTGAAAATTGCACACAAGGAACAGTGGGTTTTTTGAAGCATCTCATAGTTATTTTATTACCAGAGCTGCTCATTCAGTAATTTCTGGCACCCTCTCTTGTTTAGAATAATTGCACTGACACAGTCTGTGCTGGTGTCATGTTTCTGGCTTGTTCTAGTTAAGTTCAGTGCATTAAAAATATGTCACTTCACTTGTTCTTAAGTAATAAAATGTTGCAGCACATACATATATATCCTTTCACATGCCTGAGGGCTTAAGACTCCCTTCTCCTACACACACACACACACACACAGAGCTGAATGATTCCCAGCGGGAGACACGGGTCCATCTGTAACTCTATGAATTAGGAACTGCAGTCAACATTTGAAGTGTATAAATGTAAATCTTGTTAGGTGAAACCGAAGCTGCTTTCTGACATAATTCACTCAGAAAGTCATCAAAGCAGCAATGTAAATGCCACTTGGATTAGGGTGATATTTGCTCTCCTTAGAGGAGATAGTGTTCAGATGTTAAGGGACAAGGGTTATTTTTTGGGCAATCGAATACAACAGTTAGCCAAGTTTGGGGTTTTCTTTTTTTTTTTTTCATATCCTGACAGTGTACCTCAGAATACCATGTGTATTTTCCATGTATCCATCCTGAAAAGAATGGCATTGGTTGATTGCCGTCTGCTGAGTGAAGGAGCTGCTGCATTTTGTCTCTGAAGAGGATGATTTAATGACTAAGTACACTGGAACACTGTTGTCCATCTGGTAGGAAACGGCGATGTTTTGCCACATAAAGGCTTTTTCTGTTAAGGCAGAATGTCATGTTTTCAGCAGCTCTGAATGCTACTGGTACTTGGTCTGATACTTGTAGGGGTTTTGTAAACTCTGAGACCACTGATCTTTTCCCCAGAGCAATGTTACATTCATTTTAGAAGCTGGACTTCATTTTTCGACTCATTTCTAAACACCACCACCTCTTACATGCAAAAAACACTAGTTAGACACTTAAAAATTGCAGCCTGGAATTTGAGGAGTGAAAAGACTGATAAGCAGTTGATTCACTCCTGTGATTGGTAATTAATGATTTACCTTGATCCTTACTTTATAATACATCATTGCCAGAATCCCAGCACTGTTAAGTCACTGTTTCACCTTCTTTGTGCCCTCTCTTCCTTCACAGACTCCAAAAGTTATTTACCCTCTCAATGAAGTAGTTGTGGGCTTGTTTCTTTTCTCTGCCAAATAGATTTTGAAAAGCTTTATGAAAAGAAGGTGCAGAAGGATTGCTTCTGACAGAACCAGACAAATCAATTAATTGATCTCTGGCAGTCAGGGATAATTTTATTTCCTACTCTATTAAGGAGAATCAGAATCGGTTAGCTAATTTCACTATAGAAAATATCTGTCACCAGTTATTAAGCAGCACATGATGGAGAGAATTAAGGACGGAAAACTTAAAAAATTTTTTTCGTCCAGAAACTGCATTACCTATTACTCAACCTTTAGAACTCTGGCATCAAACAGCATTGCAAATCCTTTGGTTTGACCAAATAAAAGGCTCTTTCTTCCCCTATAGCAGCACCTATAAATTTTAACCTTTGATGTCTATAAATACTGACACTGTTATGTTTGTGCTTCAGAAGAAGATAAATCTAACACTAGTAGACCACAATAATTTACTGATGCACATCATAATTTACTGCAACACGTAATTTACTGATGAATGTTCCTGCTATATATATCAGAAACATACAACTGTAACAAATATTTTAAAAAAAATACCCTCCAAACTGATTACTTTTATATCAGAATCTCTTTTCAGTATTGACCATTCATACGAGTTAAGAAACATGATTCCAATATCACAAGGTGTACTTCAGATAGATTAAGGAGTTTCCATTTCTTCTGGGGAGAGGGAGGTGGCAACTGGGCTGTGTGTGCATACAAAATTCAAAATAGCTTCCAGTGCAACCAGAAATAGAACAGGACCATTACTGAAGGCCTGATATTTTAAAGCACTTTGAATCTGTGGCTTATGGCCAGCAGATCATGTCTTTAATCAAGTTTGGTAATTAACCGTCACCTAATGGCTCCAGAGGGGCTGATTCTCCCAGGATTCTCTTGCTATACCTTGTTGATTTATTCATTTCCTTTTTTTTCCATGGAGTGCTCTTCTCCAAAGGCCTCACTGTTGGCCCAGCCATGCTCTCCCTAAAGGTACTGTCTTTAGGAGGACAGTTAGCCAAGCCCAAGTGTTTTGGAAAATACTGTCCTTATTTCTGCCTTATTTCTGGACAATTACACAGGTCCAACCCAGGAATTTCAACCTTATGACAAATAGACATATAGTAGCAGAACTCTATTTGTGGAGATACATAATCAGGGTTTTGATTATGTTTTTTTTTGTTTCATTTTTGTGCCAAAGTATCAAGAAGAAAAGTAAGCCACATAAATTATTATTAATAGTCCTCATTGTTTTTCTTGCTTTTGTTGTTAAAAAAACATAGCATATTATGTTCCCATGGAAATTAAGATTCATTTCAGCTCCACTGCTACCCTGATGGACAACATTTCATACATCACCTTTCTGGCCTTCATCAGGACAGAATGATATTGACTCAATTTACAAGGCACTCAGAGAAGAAAAAAACTAGTTAAATAGAAAATTCCCATCATTATTACTTCAACCACCCTGTCATCTGGGGAGACCATATGTCAATCCGAGGTATCCCAGATGTCTATAGTGAATATCAACAATGGCAATAAGGGAAAAGATTAAAAGCATGCCCAAGTTAAAATGAAACTTGGCAAGCTCATTTACTATTTTTCTTCACATTGTCATGCTACAGTGGTAGGGGATGCTGAAGACACAGAAGATACTGATCAGCAAATATGAGACACAATAAAGCCTTTTGTTGGAAACGCAAAAGTTAAAACTATGGAAAGAAAGCAAATGTAATACTATGCAGGATGCATAGAAAGAAAAATCACTGTAAACAAATTAATGCAGTATAACCTATAGTACCATGTGTTTGGAATATTAATCAGTAAAGCCAGGTAAGCTCCAGTGGGAAAAAAAGCAAGGGTAATTAGGAACTCATTAGTGTGACAGCAGAATATATTATCTGTTAGTGCTAGGTTTACCCCCACACTAGAGATCTGTTCTGACTGTCAAAGCCAAAGAAAGCACTTTATAGAAATTAGTGATTGCAAAAGCACCCAATATGACAAAAAACAGGCAGCTCGTCACACAGTAACATGAGAAGTGGGAAGATTCCTGGCCTTTGAACATCCTACCGTCTAAGTCCAAAAAAATCATTGAACTCACAGATGGGTGTGGATTTTCAAACGTGAGGTAGATCAAAGACATTACACTGATCATCAGAAGCCAAGAAAAAAAAATCCATAGCTAGGACTGTCTTCTAAGGTCATAAAGACCGGAATACACGGAAGATTTCTTTTATAATTCAGATAAACCAAACACCTCGAGCACAGAGGGTTTTTTGGTCCTATTTAACACAAGTACTTGGTATAGTCGGGGTACTTTCTAACATAAAGTTAGTGGATATTCACTTGGAGACAAGAACAGAATGACAGATGTCAGCTGTTAAAGCAAAATGTTTCCTTCATCCAAGTTCACAGCGTATTTGCCACCTGGTTCATCACAGTGAAAACAAATACCAAAAGGCCTGTGTACAGATGGGAAAGGTTTTACTTAATCCATCCCAATACCTGAAAGAATTACATAGTCTTTTTGATTGAAATGGTGCTTGAGATGGACAAATCAGCTGTGAACCACCCCTGTACCAAGCTAAGGCTCGAAAGAGAATATAGTAGAAGAGAACTATATACTACTATAGTAGAAGAGAATAGTGTGCTGTACACATAAATCCTCACAGATGAAAGAAAATAATATTCCACTAGACCCACTATTGTCCATTAAGTACATTCTTTTGACCCATTTGGGTCTTCTGGTTTTTAGTATCTTGTGGTTTCCTCACTGAAAAACACTTTTTGGGTCCAATATGTAGAGTAACGACTCGCACTGGGTTAGGCTTCTTCACTTCACAGCCACCTGGTTGTTATAAAAGCCATTGGGAAGAGAGCTGTACATGTTTTAACTTACAGGGACATGAAAAAAAACAATGTGGCCACCAGAAGCAGAGCTTTAGGCAAACATGAGTATTCATGTTCCCTTCCAAAATGGTGGGATTCAACGGTGGGAAATCCCATTCATGGGATTTCATGAAAAGAACAGAGTCATTAGATTTATGAGCCTAAAATAAACATGTTTTCATTATGGTTCAATACAGCTGTCATATAGCATAGAGGCTCAACAGCCGTCCAGAAACATTTAAAGCAGCTATAGTGCTTATATCTAAACAGATGCTTAAAATAATTTGCATCATTATAACACTGTATTACAAAAACAAGTCAGTCACTCTGACTTTATAGTGGAAGTGATGTACATTGATCTTCCTTGACAGCAATGAAAGCCCAGTGACATCCTTCCCTGCCCTGGAGATTGCATGAAATATAACTGCATTTGGCAGAAAAGAAACCTGTTTGGTAGTTTTACCCTTTTCTGTAAACTATTCCTCTGTAATCAGACGCAAATTAATAGAATCATCAACTCACCCTCTCTGGAAGAGGTCCACATTATGGAATTTGTGTAGCTCCACAGAAAACTCGACCGTTCCCTGGACCTCAGACATGATTTTTTCAGGTCATCACCTAAACAACAAATATATAGGCGTTATAAACATTTGAAGTATTTTGCTTAACAAATGCATGAATGGATTACTACATTTTATTCAGCATCTTGCATTTCATGCAAAGCTTGAAATCGACTGAAATCAACTGGAATCTTTCCAATAACATCATTGGGCTCCACCTTCAGAAAGACTTTCTAAAAGCCAGATCAAAGCAGTAATTAAGAGAGGTAAAAAGTCTAATTAAGCCTGAGGACAGAATGATAATATTATGGAAAGTATAAGAAGCAAAATGTAAATAACATATTATGTGCAAGAATCTCAAAGCAAATTCTAATTAACTCTCTTGCTACTCTTGTACGGGAAATTGATTTTTTTATTCCCATTTTACCAAATGGCAGATATCCAGGGTCAGCACAGCTCATTTCTGTAAAAGCAAAAGCCAAAAAGACAAAAACCCTAGACAGATGAGAACAGAATACAGAATTCTCTTGCTTTTGACCCCTCTTATGACTTAACTCAAGTCCCGGAAGGGAAGCTTCTGAGGGAATTTGAATAATTTAAAGATTAATGAATGGAAGAGATTCTTCTAAGGAAAATGCTGACAATCAAAGCACCTAATAGGCCACCACAGTCAGATCAGGATTTTGAAACATTACAGGCATTTACAGATAATAACTCATATGTTCATTGAATCACGGAATAATTCCGGTTGGAAGGGATCTCAGGGGGTCATACCTTACTCAAGGAAGCTTTAGCAAAATTAAGTTGCCAAACCAGCACTGTTTAATACGTCAGTGTAAACCCTTAACATTTCCCTAATAGGAGCAGAGGCAAGCCAAGGGCTTTTACAGCTTCTGGACAGATTTTGAATTTTCTATTACCCTTTCCTCCTTTTCTCCGTGCAAGTCTACTTCAGGCAATCTGCAAACTCTCTGGAAATGGTCTGTAGCCTCATTGAGAAGACAGAGATCAGATTTGTATAATTAACACTTCGATAAGCATCATTTTGGTAGCTGTTTGACAGCAGCCAAGTACAATATCTGACGAAGATCCATGTCAGGGCTATTAATAATCCCCTGTCTGAGACATACAGGGCTTTTAAGGGGGCATCCAGCTCAGACTGAAAGGTGGAGAATTCCTCCATATTTCTAACCCAGTAATTTCCATAGCACTCAAAGATTTCATCATTTTCTCCAATGAAGCAGGAATGAAGAGGAGTTTGATACATGAAGTCCGCAGACAAGCATTAGGATGTAGCTTTCTGATAAGTCTCAATGCTCAGTCCTGATTACTAATTTCCCAACTGACTGGCTTATTACATCCATTATTTTAAACTGCCTTTTTTTTTTTTTTTTCTGTCTATCCTCTCAAGCACTACTATTTTTGAAAAAGAACTCATTCCCAAGTTAAAAGATTGTTGATTTCTCATTCACTCTCCTCGAAAACAAACATTGCAGTTGTTGGCTCTGGAATGACAAGAATGAGACATAAGATGTATGCAATGCATGTAAGATATGTCAATAACTGTGAGGAAGAAAAGAAGGACAATTGCTGAGCAACCCATCTGATATACCTCCAAGGTAAGGAACTTTACATTAACTTCTATCTGGCCGTGATGTAGGAGCAGTGAAGGTAAACTCAAAGGTTATCACTTGACAAAGTGCTATTTTTTTTTTAGTATTATTATTTCTTTTTTGTTTGGTTTTTTTTTCCCTTCCATTTGAACAGGGATGACACTAATCCTTTCTTGTTTTGCCTTTCTCCACAAAGGAGTTACATACCATTTGTAAGGCATGTGTATCACATATCCACCTGCTTATGCATGTGATAGCCTTGTCTGAGTGTAAAATATCAAAGCAAAGCAGACTGTGTGGGAAGCCAAGAGAAAACCACACGATACCACAAAGCAATGCACTGACAGGGTATTTAGCCTTGAGGAGGGTATTAATTGGAAGAATTGCCTCTGGGTAAATCTGCATGTTGTGCTGAGGCGTATCTCCCTAGACCAAAAACTCAGGATCAAAGGAAACTCCATGCTTTTGAAGACACCATTTTAAAAAGGAGAGGTATGAGTGGACGCCCAACCAGGTCACACCAGTGCCAATATTGTCAAAGACAGAAAGAATGACGTGAGGCTAAGGTTAGATAGGGTAAGTGAAAAATTAAATACATGGAAATACACACACACATCTTCACTGCATTTACATTTCATTTTGAATGTTTTATACCTTTTCATAACAAATATATAATAATTGTCCTACAAAAGAAAAAAACGTGTTTCTGTAACTTCTCTCATCACCAGAATGAAAGACTAAATAGCTTCTGCACCAGGCTGGACTTCCACCTACCCCAGCAGCACACCAGAAGATCAGAGCACGTATATCTACAGCAGACAGTGATAGGGACTGAGCCCCCAGCAGCAGGGACTCGTACTTAAAGGAACACCCAACAAGAAATAAAAGGGGCCTCTGGTGCAGCTTATCATCATGACACTTAACAAGGTTCAAAAAAATCCTGCTCAGACTCATGACCATCATGCTTTAATGAACGAAGCTATGAAATTTGACAAAACAGCTGCAGATCCAGAAAACACAAACACTTAAAATGAGGCATTAAGTTTTCAGTGCTGTACCACGTGCGTGCTTAAAGGAACCTGATCACAGCTCTTGAAAACCCAGGGCTTCTGAAGGACCTCTGATGACCGCTTGCTCACTGATGACGATGTGGGACAAGGTTGGGTTATAAATAGAGGAATAGTCGGTAAAAATAACACTGAAGTGAAGGATGCCATTACATCAGCATTGTAAACACACAAGGGAACGGTGCCAATAGGGAATGTTGCCAGTACTTATCATATCAATTTATCTAATAAGCAGTTCAAAGAAAAATGGGTTAATTCTTGGGAAGGCTTTGGTATATTGTTTTTTCTAAAATGTCTGCTTTCAGGTCAAACTTTTTGCATTTTCCAGAAGAGAACTGAAGACAACAATAGTAAATATCCATGTGATGCTACTAAAGCCACATGGGAAGCGCTTTGGCCATATGCTTCTGTAAAAGCACCCCCATGATCATTCTCATCACCCCAAAGCCCTGGATTGCTTCATGAAGTGCCGCCATTGTCACTGGTTATTCTGTGCTGTCCTGCGTGCTCCAGTGTTATGAGCCAGACCACCTCTCTGACAGTTTGTCCTTCCAACTAGAGTGGGTGTCCTAAGCAAGAGACAGTCAATTTCAATTGTCATTTTACCTGTAGCAAGGAGACACTAGCTGAAGCTCAAAATCCTTTGGATAAATATAGTCCTATGAAAATCAATATGTTTACAGACTGGAGACTGTTTCACTTGCATTTTTAAAGGAAGGCTTGACTTTACTCCCACATCTCCGTTGTTGTCAGTGGAGATGCCTTCTGGATTGGAGATTGTTCAACATATGATACCAGCCAGAGTGCAGTAGCTTTATTCATCTTTCTCCTCCCTTGCTCTCTGCAATCTTTTTGATTCACAGTATTTGTGCGAATGACATTTTAGAGATAGAGTCAAATGACTGAGCCCTCTGTCAGCAGGTGATTAGTCGGTTACGTACCACACACACACAACTGTTAAACACCTTGAAGCTAAAACTGTGTCTGACAATTCCCTGCTGAGATAGCGATCAGCATCTGCCCAACCAAAGGGAGTAGAGGAAGGTGAGATAGGGACAGAGCAGGGTGAAAGTAAGGACAGGACTGACTCTACGCACTCTGACAGTCCATGAACTTTCTAGCATTTATGCGATTACATCTGAGTGTAAAAAAGAAAACCAGACATTTATTTATTGCTTTCACCATTCTTGTCCATATACATCACAGAAGCCAGAAAAAAAAAGACAAAAAAAGAAAGGGGGAAAAAAAAAGGAGAAAAACCACCAAGGACAAAAGAACAAAACACACTGTGGTAAAGGGCAATGAGTCATAAACATAGAAACATTCATTTAGGAGAATAAAGCTGCCTCTCAGTAAACACAGCACATACTACCTCCAGGATAGCACCGCTGTCCTTACTGCTTTTGAAACATCTTTTATTTTATTGTGAAGTTTTTTAGAAGCTGGTGTTTGCTATTGGCTAGGCATTTATTTATTTATTTATTAAGAATTCCTTGCTGAAGTGTGTAGAATGAAGTCCCAGTGAGATAACCTTATTCTCCCTTCCCCAAATTCCTTCACCTGCTGTAAAATTCTAAGTAAGAAACAGAGGAATACAGTGAAAGGAGGAATATAAACACACACAAATAGACTCCTGAGACTAACGCATTAGGAGAAAAAGCACATTCATTAGATCAAGTCTCTTTTTTTGTTGTTCTTTTTCTTTTTTATTGAAATTGCTACAGTGTTCACCTTCATGCAGCTGAACTGGATCCCAGTTCTTCGGGCAGTGATTGCACCTCAATAGCCTTTTCTGGGCATCCCTTAATTGCTTGAGTCAAAGCAGTCACAAATGTCAGTAAGTCCTTTCACTACAACGTTGTCATTAACCATTCTCCAGTTTACAGAACCAGTCATTTTTTTCCTTCAGTAAAACGGAAGAGGTGAGGTATTTAGATAAACAATGATTTCCAAAGTTAACATCTCATTTTGTTGAAATAAATCCTGCCAGTAATTCTCTTCTAAGATTTTGGAATACCGAAAGTTATCTCCTTTACACTTTTACAAGGAGCCTGTCTAAATATAATACTAAAGATACAAAGGAAAGACAAGGCTTGTTAAACAAAACTATTTAAAAAGTAGCTCAACGTGAGCTGGCAATGTGCGCTCACAGCCCAAAAAACCAACTGTATCCTGGGCTGCATCAAAAGAAATGTGGCCAGAAGGGTGAGGGACATGATTCTACCACTCTGCATTGCTCTGATGAGACCCCACCTAGAGTACTGTGTCCAGCTCTGGAGCCACCAACATAAGAAAGACATGGGCCTGTTGGAGCAAGTCCAAAGGAGGGCCACAAAGATGAGCATATCCTCCTATGAGGATGGTCTGAGAGAGTTGGG